AAAATTTGTCATTTGAAATGCTAAAAAAATTTATTGCATACTATTAATTAGAAATTGATATTTTTGTTAGAGGATTTTAATTTAAAGTTTCACTGTTGTACTAAAAAATAATTTTTAATCTTTCTGTACTAATGCATTTATTAATAAATTAAATGAGATGGATTGAAAAATGAAATAATCTTTTGGGAGGAGTTTCCGCCATTTCTTGCAAAATTTAGTTTGAAGACAAACCGTTGAAAATCGAAAGAAGATAACGAAAATTCTTCCAAAATATAGCATTTCAAAGCCCTCTAACAAAAATTATCATAAGGGTTATTACACTGTCGGTAGCATCAAATACCTAAAAGGAAAAATTTGAAAATGCATCGCATTAATTTCCCTATGCCGAATTTCCACTGTTCATTAAATAGATAAAAATTTTAATGGCACATTCCCTAATTAAATACTAAGCTTGTCTTAAAGTTCAAAAGAACAGCCAATAAGTCCCTATCGCTTGACATCTTTTAAATGAAAGAATTTTATTTGCAATTTTTGCCATTTCAATGTCCATTGGAAATTCGGCATTGAAATCAATATGGCCGGCGCTAGATATAAGTTTGGAATACAATTGCTCAATGCTTTTGTCTCTACCCAATTAACTTGGAGTCGAAAGCTCAAAATTCGTAAAATATTTCACATACATTTTTGAAATATTAGCAAAGTTTTCGCGTACTTTTTCATTTTAAGATATATCCCTATTATTTTAGGTTGAAAAAATATAGTAATTTCCCTTTTTTAAAACTTAGAGCATTGAACTTTCAAATTTACAATCAGCAAGTTTTTTGCCTTTCACTTTAGTTCCTGCTAAGCTTTTACTACATTTTAAGAGCAAGCGGAGAGTTTTGAAAGGCCGGCGGTAGGGAGCTTTTACGCCATCTTTTATTAACATAGTGCTTGAAATCTTCTTATAGCAAGCAAGCGGTCGACTTAGAAGGCATGAAGCCTGCTCAGCAACTGGTGTACTGGTGAGACCTCAATATTTGTGTTTTAGGACCTTCAACTTTAAAAGCTTTCTTGTATATTTCAGTTGGGCGGTGAAAGCTTTAATATTCACATAAAAAATTTGCAGAATCTAAAACAAGCATTTTGAATGAAAAAAATACATATTGTTCAACAAATTTAAAGCTTAAAAGCTCTCCCTTGAAAAAATCAGTGTATTCATGAAAAAAGCCCTTTATTTTTAAATAATTATTGTTAAATGATAAAGAGCCTTTAAAAAAAATTTTGTTTTAATTTTAGACTTGGGCAAGGTAGTTATTATTTGAGGACCCAATTCCTCAAGTACTAGTAGTAGTTACTACCTATTCGCAACACTTTCTTTTTTCGTTTAAATTGGAGACCAAAGCAAGATCTATTCACCCCCAAAAATAAAACTGGCATACTGACCGTAATCAACAAAATCCATAAAACATATTCGATTTTTGAGATCCAGTGCATCAGTCATCAACAAGCATTGTGTGAAAAGCATGGTTTCGTCTCCGTTGTAATATAATAAGCGTCCTCGCAAAAATAGTGAACCCAATATCTTCACAGGCATTAAATAAGCGAAGATTTTAGGCTTATACGGGGCGTGCAAAGTTTATGGTTTTTACGGATATGTGCCAGCAATTATTGAATTTGAACATAAAGTTTCAAGGGCTAATAAAACTTTTATAATTATGATAGATCTCATTCGTGCTTTCGAAAGTTTTTTGTAAAGATATTGTTTCCAAAAATTGCAAATGTTTCACAAACTTAAAATTTTTTTTTTGGATTTACATACATGAGACACCGAAGAGTTTTTTGGAAATAAATTCTGTCATCGAAGAATTTTCATCGAGGTTTTCTGAATTCAAGGATTTATCGGAAGCATTCAAATTTATTATGTATCTGATGTGCCTTCACTTGATAAATTGAGCTTGTCTAAATTTGATTGGCTGGAAGTCGGAGATTTTGAAATGCAGCTGATTGAGTTCCAGTGTAGTTCAATATGGACTAAAACTTTGTCGAAACAAGGAAAGTGTTGGAGTTAGAAAGACCATCAGCCAATAGGGACGAAAACGGTAATAATAAAATTTTAGAAACTTCGAACTCAATTGCAGACATAGAATAACTGTCTGCTGAAGCTTGCAATGGCTGTCTTAACAATATTTTCATCTGCATATGCAAGTGAGTCCTTACCGCTTACCACGTAAGGTACACAGAGACATTTAGGAGACGCTTCATTCGTTCTTTTAATTTTTGTTGTACGATTTGTGTGATAATTAATGTCTCTAAGAACGGTGATAAGTCATGATTTGTTGTTGGCATGTCATGGCTACATTGAATATTTCTGGGGAAATAATGGCACGTATATCTATAAAGGTTCGCCGGCCCTGAAGTAGGTGATAGATAGCTCTGTTTGCACTTAGAAGGAAAGTATTTAATTTTTCGACGTTGGAGATGAAAACTGAAACAAAATTTACGATTCAACATCGCTTTAAAGAAAATCGTCTGTGCAAATTGTGTTTAAATTTTCTGGAAAGCGATAAAATCGGTTTCAACTTTTCAAGCGATTTTGAATCGCTTACAAAATCTCCTCATGTAAATGCTGCTTTTTTTTTTGTCAAATTTGTAATTTTACAAATTTATGTTTGTTCAGCTAAGAGCTTGCTCTATGCATCTTCCAGCATAAATCGAACTGTAGAAGAAACTAAACACACACATATCGGGTATCGTCGCCTGAATAAAAGATTGTCGTAAGCGTCATTTTGACTATTCTTATTATGCCGAGTTTCCACTAGGCATTGAAATGACAAAAATTTGAGGCATTTCAAAAATGCCTTGTGGAAATGAGTTTAATTACTTTTTTTTTTAAACGTAATGGCACGAATATTTGTTAATGCCCAAATTTGTCATTACAATTTTTGTCATTTAATGCCAAGTGGAAATAGAGTATTATAGTTTGGTTATCTCGTTTAGTTTCAGAGTTATGGACTAAAACTTTATCGGTAATTTAGTACAAATTGAGTTAAACCTGTAGTCATACTAAACTAATCAAGTTCTTTCAAAAGGTGTTATCTATTTTTGGAAATCCCCTTTATTGTGCGAGAAGTTGAATAAAAAGTATAGTTAATTTAGTGCAAATTTTGATCACATCTTTTCGTATGTTCGCATACGATAAAATTTTACTAAACAAATTTCTTCCTAAACTCAAAAATAATTAAGAGTTAACAATAGAAAAAAAATCATTTATTAATTTGGTGAACTAGTAACATTCTCAGAGACTTTGGAGAAAACCTATCATCGCGTTTTTGAGAAATTGCATTCCAAACTTCCATCGCGACTTCCAATAACCTGCTGAAAATATTATAGAAAATCTTTCATCCAGACAACGATATCCCCTGTGGTTTTATCTAACTAAGTAAACTTTAATTTACAAGCAGGGAAGAGAATTATGTACTTAAATAAACTGGGATTGCACGCAATGTTGTTTAGCTAAAATACTTCATATATGTACATTAATATTAGCGAAAAATTATGTTAATAAATATAAAACTTAAAAACTAGCATAAAATCAAAAAGAAATAAAAATAAAATTCTTTCTAAGAAAAAAAAAAAAATTGCTTATATTAATTACATAAATTTCTTGGCAGCCACTGCAATAGCTAGCAAACATTTTCGTTTTTCACTCAACAACTCTCGAAGTAGTTACACAAAAACACCCACACACTTGTATCTAAGTAAATCCGTTAAGTCCCCGATCTAAGCATTGCCAACTTATACGCCTTCTTTACTTTCCGCTTACTCAACTGGCGCCAAGCACTTGTCTGTGGCACAAAAACGCTACAACAACACTGTTAAAATGTATTTGCAATGCAGCATACCGTTTCTCTGCGCTTCAGTTAATCCCTTTGGCTAAGCCGCAACGATGTGGTTTAAACAGTAGCTCGGTCGCTCAGTGGCTTAGCCGTTCGTGTAATCGTTCGTTTGAATGCAAAACACTCGAAAAGGTAACAGCACGAAACAATAAAGTTAACGAGTCATTAACTAGGCTTTTATGTAGCTGGCTGTTGGTCGAGCGCAGGACAACAAGTGCAGCGTGACGGACAAGCGATGGATGCGTGCATGGATAAATAGTTAGCAACTGAGCCGAAATTGAGTTCCCATTTGAAGTCGCGCTGGGTTTTTGTCATGGTTCTTGTTTATTGGTTAACCGTAAGTTGATTCGGCACAATTTCGCGCTCGATTGAGTAAATCCTGGCGGTGGACGAGCTCTTCTACAAAGCTGGTATACAAATTTTAATGCGTGGTATGTTACTTTGTGGACTCCTTTGTGCGTTCCTTTGTATGTTTGGTATGTTTTTACACCTAATGATGATGCATTCCACAACAACTATTCGCATATTCCTTCATACATATGTACGTACTATGCACTCATTAATGTTGGCGGCGACAGGATAATCCCAGCATTAGTTGCCAAAGGCACAACGCCCAAGAAAGGTGGTCGTGGAGAACCGAAGAGTGCCGGGAGGTGCGCAGTAAGATATTGAATTTTTTGTGTGTGCAAAATTAGGGTTTTGTATTTACCGATTTTTATTATTTTTGATGATTGATGTTTTGTTATTGCTGGTAGTTGTGTTAGTTGAAATTCTAGACTAGTTGTTGTTGTAGTCAATTCTATTTCGCATGCAGTTTACTCTTTGTTGTATGCAAATTTAGTAGGCGTTAGCGTTCAGTTACGGTTTTTATGCTGTTGTTGCAGATTTGTTTTTCTTATTGACATTTCGGGTTCACTGGTACTTTTTCTGGTTACGTTCTTCAGCAAAGCGCTTAGCTTGTTGCGTGTT